CTTCAGAAGAAGACTGCAGTTTATGTTTGGAAGATGACTTTGTGTGTTCTAATAGCCTTAAAAACATTTATGATTAATTCTGGGTAAGCCACAAATAGGAAATGATACATGGGGTGTAAATACACTGGTCTAACCATAATCTATTAATTTATCAAAAGCTGCAGACTGAACCTCCACTTCTGGAGGAGTGGGAGGGAATTAATTCACTTTATTGCAGATTAAGCAATGGGCTTTTAAAATAAACCCTTTCTCAGGACACAGCCTTAATCTTTAATCAAACAAATAATTATGTCAGTGCATAACTATAGTGGTATACTTCCCCTGTGCTGGAAAGAAGCAAAACCTGAACCAGCAATTTGTACTGTTAAGGATTTCTAAAATGGCATTAGAAAAATGTGTAAATGCTTAAATTATCCATCTTTTTGTAAGTCTCACTCTTTTGTAAGTTATGAAAAGAGCTAAAACCCCAAACCAAGAAGAGAAACAAAACAAAAAAAGCAACCCACTTGCAAGAAGGTTAAATCTTGTTTGATTTGACTGTTTCGCAATACAGTCATTTGTTAAATTACCATAAATGCGTCCATATTCTGTGCAGTTAAATTCCAGCTCAAAAGGGTAATTATACCACAACTCCAATAAAATTTAAAAATATGAAGTGCCAATAACAATCAGTTTCCCTCTCAATTTACATGTGAAGCCATTGGAAGATATCACAAATATATGCCTCCTGCTTCATACCAAAACTTTGCATATATCAGTATGAAGCAATTCACACAATTTTACATGAAAATACACTGAAATCATAATCAGAAAATAGATTAATTTTATATGAATTTAAAGTGGTTTAAGACATAAATGTTTCTTATATGAACTAATTATACCATTTGAAAATACTTCTATGATGAAGCTATTATATATTTGCAGATAAATTAACCACCCAGATCTAGTTTAAAACTTTAAAACAAAGAAAATAGAAAGGCAAGCAACAAATGAAACAAACTCACAAGAAATAACAGAATCATAAAACAAGTTGCATTTCAGAACTAGAAATCTAGCTAATATTTTACAGGGATATATGCAGGCTATAATCAGCTTCAGCACCTAAAATACATCACAACTGGCTTTGATTGACAGTTGCCAAAACCAGCTTGGCTTTACTGTGAGAGTGAAATTAAGTCACAAAGAAATATAGTATTGGAGTCTGTATATACAGATACTCTATCCTTGCAAAGATTTCTGAAACAGATGATATAAGGAGGGAGAAAAATCAAATTATTCTATGGAAAGATGCAATGAAAATTCTGGTTTTTATTTGCATTGATTTACATGACATATATGTCCCACAAGACGTATGCTGCTAATGACACCACAGCATTAGAGCAAGTAGTTGTGATCCCCAAAACAATACACATGCCTATCCTCCTGCTCAGTCTCTCGTAACATCAGGCAAAAATGCTGCAGTTACTCAGTGACTGACAGTGTAAAAACTCTGCCCAGATCCCAAACAATCTTGGAGCTTGCTGAGACCAGGACCTCTGATAGCCTCCACAATCACTACCACCTTCATTTCTACCAGGAGGTGTGTCTGTAGCTTGGTTTTGTAAGTTGTGCTGCACAAAGGCATCAGATTATAGAGTGCACCAAGCATGTCATGATCCTCAAACACTGCTACACAATGTCACATTTTTATTTCTGAAGGCAGTTAGCAGCGGTCCTGCTTGGCCAGGTCTTTTTTTTGCCACTGTGTAGGCAAAATCAGGGCAGAGGAAGAGAAAATTCAGCTGAACATGCTTGATTCTGTGGTCAAGATTTCCTTTTGCAGAGTATTTCACCAACTTTCAAACAAAACCAAATGGACAGCCTGGGCTGTACTTACTCTTGCAGGAGCTCACAGGGAATGAAATCACCCATGAAGGTAATTGCATTCAAGTGGGAAACCTGCAAAAAGGGGCCACAGCCTTTTCAATATATCTAAGGGGAAGGAAGAGCAACAGCTGGAGTGTAAAAAGGTACCCACATAGGCTAGATACACATAAGCACTTCCCCATAGCTACCTGCTCTACAATAGCTTTACTAAGAGGCAGTTTAGGGTGCATGGCATCTTGCCTTTTTCAGTACAGACTCCTGTCTTCTTTCCTCCCTCCAAGCAACAATGACATTTGTGTCTGCCTAAGGCAAGGGGGAGGAAGGAGCACACATGACACCTCTGCTCCAGAACAACTCCATCATATGCTAATGAAGCTAAAATACCCCTACTATACTTTGGGTAGAAGCCAAGGAGTTGGTTCCTATTTCAGTGAAGGGCAGAGAAAACTAGAGAACAGCCATAAAACCCACCACCATCTGCCCTAGAGGCTGAGAAAGCATGGACTCTTCATCCTTATAAGCAACTCTGACACTCACCTTTTGTACCCCAGAGTGTTCCCTCTCTCTACCTGGAACCACAGGAGTAGGAGGGAGCAGACTGGAAAGATGAGGGAAAGGCAAGTGTAGCAGTAACCAGGGTATGAGCAGTAGTTTCATACAGCCACAAGCCAAATAAATGCATCCCAGCTTGGATTGTTGTGAATTGCCCCCAAAAGATTGGGCATCTGCCCTCAGGTATCAAACAACAGCCATACTTACCCTGCATACTAATACTTACTGGGCCTGTGCCACCCAAAACCCATTATTCCACTGTGTTCAATGCCATAGGAACTGTTACTGAAAGTTGTCAATTTCATATGATTTCCACTATGAATATAGCCTGCATATATCCCTGTAAAATATTTATGCTCAGTTCCACCCTGTGTTCATTTCCTAAAGAGTTTAGTCAAATAACAATGGGGCACTCATACTCCTTATCCAACACAACTTCCAAGTCCAGATTTTCAAAGTCAATATGGTGTCACCTTGGCATTTATCACAAAGATTTTTAACTGGACTACATTTTGGGGAAGGAAGAGGGGTTGTTTGGCTGGGTTTGTTTGTTGTTGGTTTTGTCTTCTAATTCAGACAATGGTGTTCTCCACCAGTACTTAAAACTTGATGCTGTTTTATTTTAATGTGTTTACAAAATGTTGTATAGATTAGTTTTCTCAAGAAATGTACTCTTGAAAACCAATCTTTGGTCTCATCTTGTCCAGGGGCCTTGAAAGAACAAAGCATCGGAGCATGAAATTAAAAAAAAAAAAAAAAAAAATTTCTCTGCATACTCCGTACATCACTTGGACTTGAAATTATGCAGACTTTCTTTGATTTGCATAATTTTCCTTGCATGGAAGTCAGCTCTTATGGCTCAGCTCAGTTACACTAATATTCAGCGTATCTGCACATCAGAATTAAGCAGTTCCAAAGAATCTGAAGGCACACACCTTAGAAAACCCTAATAGACACAGGATAAATTCATCCCAAGGGCAACTCTGTTTAAATCAAGGAAACTACCTCCATAATGCATTTCATCCTGTAAAATTAATTTGACAGCCTTACTGTGAAAACATTATTCATGCTAGAGAATATATGTTATAATACTCTTTTGTTGTTGTTGAATATTTGCTAAGGAATCTATTTTGCACATACTTTTTCTGGCTTGTTTGCAATTGCCAAGAACTACTTCTTGAAGAAAGAAAACATTTCTACTTAATTTGTCAAATCAGATCAAATTATTTTAAGGTCAAGAGTAAACAATACAGCTTTTTGTGCAGGCATACTGCTATGCTGCTATCAACCCTCAGGCAATGATGATTTGACATCTTTGCTTCATAGGTTGCCTGTATGACCTAAGCTGTACCTGTTCAGGACAGGGATCATATTTTGGTATCCTTGAGGCACTATTCACTATCTGGCCCAAAATGAGCAATAAATCTATGATAAGCTCTCAGAAGTGCCACACACTTATTTCTTCCTTACACATAAAATCATTCCAGAATAACACTGGGCACAGTTATTCTGAAATGGGTGTTCTGGAATAGCTTTAACATGCCCCATTATAATTTTGTGCCCTTAGATGGTGGCAGCACACCCATAAGCACAAAGTCAGATTTATGATGAACATCTTTTCTTCATGGTTCTGCATGAATGCTTGATGCCGAGAACAGCTCAGGATTTAGCTTTGTGTATGGCATTCAAAAATTGCACGATGAATGAGTTCATTTTATACTATGAAACGTCGAATAAACATTCTTACCCATTGTGTCTTTTCTTCGATTCTTTCCACCATCCAGTTTAAAAGGGAAAATGAAAAGGAGAAAGAACATTATTTGAATACTTGTTGCCCATGGACCACTCCTTGTTGAACTCTCATTCAGAAGAGCCCTTCAACAATGGCGTATTTTTCCTTCTTTTAGTCTGATATTCCTTTTTTTCAGTTTCATTTTTTCCTAGTACTAACTTCTAGATTCTTATAGATACTAATATGACTTTGTCTCAGCAAATGAACAAACACAACTTTAAAAAGCAATGAGGTGAATGCCAGGCAGGGAGCTGTGCTCTGTGCAATCATCCTGAAAAAGGACTACCACCTCAGAAGAAGGTACTAAAAAAGCTCCATGTGGGATCTACCCTATTACCTCTACCAAATCCACCCTGCCTTTAGCAAAACAGATTACTTGCTCACTAATTGCTTCCTACCAGTGAAGCTGTGTCTGCTAGTTAATTGTCCCGCATTATATGCAAAATCACACGACTATATGACACTCTGCAGTAAATGCCATCTTACCTACACTATACAAAAGTCATAGTTGTGTCATGTTTGCAGAAGTCCTGACAGAACTAGAGTCAAAGCAATAGTAATGCCACCCAACACAAAAGAGCCCACACAGAAAAAGAAGAAAATGCCAACAGAAACAATCTTTCCCATAGTATTTCCATTTTGGTTACAAAATGGCACTCACATACTTCACTGTGGTTCACAGGACATCTCTTGGATGTTCTTTCCTGTGTGCTCTACAGTATACTTAAAGACAGGCCTGTTCATTCCAAAGCTAGTGCCTGAAATAACAGGGTGGAGATTTTTTTTTTTTTTCTATTCTTTCTTTTGTTTTATATAAAGCACAGCTTTAGCTGAAGCAAGCCATGACCACTGTCAGGGTAGGCTTCTGAACCTCCATTTTGGACTATCTTTCCTCAATATGATACTTCTGAGCTAACTGCTGGTTAGTCTGTCTCTTAACGAGTAGACCAGCTTGCTTGCTGCAGGTTCTCTGTCCATTTTCAGTTTTTCCCCAGTAAGTATCTTATGTGACAGTAACTTCTGTATTGTTTGCTTCTAACACAGTTTTCTGCTTCCACATGGACTGCTTCCCACCTAGGATGCCAGATTCATTGTCATACACAATTAGCTGTGGTCTGCAAGTCCTCCCAGTGTTTTGCTATCTGTCAGATGACAAGAGTACTTGTGTTCATTTTTCCAATTAGATACAGGATAACTTCATATTTGATATTCCTAACATCCAAATTATGATTATTTTGGGGATAGAAATATATTCCTACAGCTGATTGCAGTCATTATGACATGGAAGCACAAAAGTGCCTTTGAGCAAGGTATTTACAAGCATAAACCACAAATATTTACCTAGAAGGCTGGTCTGCTTATAGCGATGCTGTTGGTCATCTTCTGATAGTGCATCTCTTACCCTTCTCCACATTTTGACATGATTTTTCTCTCTGGGGATGTCTGAATGGGTTAGACAGAAGTCTCCAAAGAAAGCACATGGCATGCATTACTTCTTCCTCAGTGGCTTGTCAAGAAACTATTGCCATAAAGCTACAAGAGTCCAGAAGATTTTTATAATCTTAACTCACAATACCCATCTTTTAATTTGAAACAGTTAAGAAACCAGACTGATCCCATAGACTTAACTTGCACATCAGGATCTTGCACATCTCTTTCCCTCAGTTTCCCTGCCTGTAAGCTCTTCAATTTATATGTTACACACATACACACTCTAAGCCATCTTTAAATGTTCATAATGCTGATACTCAGAAAAAGTCTGTCCAAAGATACACTGGCTGGCTTTGTTTATTCTCACACTATAAAAACAACAAAGTAATTAGAACAGGCAGTAAATTCAAAGCTTCTTTACAGAAAAATAGTTAGAAGGAATATAACAAATAATATAAATATAAATAATATAAATAAAATAATAGAAGGAAATATTGAAAACCAGCTCACTATAAGCAGGCGCAACCTTCTCTGAGAAGTTTATGTATCACCAAAACACTTCTGTAGCACTGAAAATCCCAAGAGCCTACATCCTGGAACATACATTTTGAAATATATTTTTGAAAGTATTGTCCCAGAAACATGCTCTATGAAGTCTTGTGAAAGTCCATGTACCTGGCTTATTTGCTCCATTGGTAGAACTGATAATAGAATCTGATATGACCACCCATCTTTCTTGACTGACATAATAATTTTCACAATACCAGTAAGAGATGGGGGAAGAGGGGACAGAACAGAAGTAAAAAATATGTGAGATGCACTGCAGTAGCATGGAAAAAGGTTACGTGCTGCCTATTAGATGTACTTTATGGACAAAATATTTCAAATTGATTAGTTGCCTGCAATAACAGCTACATTAAATCAAAATTTACAAAACTATCAGCCTTCTCATTTTGTTTGCCTCCTCCAAGTTGATTTTATCCTTTCTTTTAATCAAGAATGTTATTTGTCCTAGGACACAGAAAACTTTTACTGCAGATTAAAAACAACAATGGAAGAGAAAAACTGAAGACAACACTAGATTATTCAATAAAAAAATCAAGACAGGCTGGTCTTTTTAGATAAATATTAATTTGGCCTTTTCCAAACTTCTACTGTATTCAGAAAGTTCTGTGAAAATCACCCTACTTGGGTAGACAGGTGAGAGTCTGAGGGAGAAATGCAGAAGGTAAATCTGAGCAAAAGTTAGATTCAGTTAAGCAATCATTTCAATTTCATTTAAAGGATTAAAATGAGTTTTATATAAAGTCATTTATGCAATTTTAAATGCTTCTCTATCACCTCTTGTTAATGGGCACAATTAAAGTCAGCAAACAGAGGTGCAGAAATATTAGAAATATATGCTTTTAAAGTAACAGCCAGGTAAACAGTAGGCTCTTGTATGAGACAAACTGTGGCAAAGAGCCAAGTAAATATTTGAGTGATTTAAAGACAGGTAAAAGAAAAGACAGCACAGGGAAATTAAACACTCTGAAATAAAAAGATTTGTTTCATTATTTTTGTTTTATAGCTTATTACTATTTCACTGTAGGATATTTTGTAATAAATGCTTAAAGACACTTAGCACAAGTTAGTTGTTTTAATTGTGTTAGAAAAGCTCAAGAAAAATATTGCTGGGACCTTATAAAAACATACAATTCATTTGCTGCATGCAACACAACAGAGTAGCCAAAAAATAGCCAGAGGAGGATGGCAGAAGGGAAAGCTTGTAATCTATCATGATGAAACAGTCCATATTCTCAAAACACTTAGAATTCTCAGAGTATGTAACAACTGAATCACAACAGGATTAAAACAGCATCAGATTCCTCTGGTTCAAGAAAAAAAATCCTTTCACATATCTCAAAGAAATATCACAATGTCACAATAGCTAATTTTATATGTGCTCACGTGTACACTGGCAATAATCTAATCTCTGTCAAAAAGAAAAAAAAAAATAAAAAGGTCTAGTATTGCTATTATTTCTTCAGTTTGTTCTGAAAAGTGGTAAAAGGTTAGCAACCTAAATTTTGGCACAGCAAGAATAGCTCATTTTTTCCAATATCAAACTCAGTCTGACATAGTGTGGTAATGTGATGTGCTCTCCCCCTGCCAAGATCAGCACACACATCCTCTTTCTGCCTTACAATAAGTGCTATTTCCTAGAGTCACTAAGTTAGGAAATATCACAGAAGATGAAACCCCATGCAACAATTATTTAGCAAGAGGCTCTGTGTGTCATCCACTCATAAGAAGATTTGCTTTAGAGTTTATGAAATTCTGGGTTAAAATATAAAGGCATCACTTAAAAATGGTTTTTATTCAAAAAACAAACAAACAAAAACACCCAGAGTTGTGAGCTAAACATTACAGTTCCTAGAGCAAAGTTAGTCTATCAAGCCTGTAAACTAGTAAACAAAAATTAAGGTTTGTCCTTCAGAAAAAAAGTGTACTGACAAAGATATCAACCTCATTCCAGTTTGACATCCCAGCTTTATTTTCAGCTTGCTGATGTTCAGTAAGTTGGCCCACACTCATCATTGGAAATGCATTCTGGAGGGGTGAAGTTTCTGACAGATTTTATTCCCTCTTCCAACACCGTGTCATTTTAGGTGGAAAAGACTAACCAGTATGGAAAAATACAGATTCACAAAGAAGTTTTGCTAAGAAAAGCAATCTGTTCATTTTCCTTTTCTTCTTCTATAGTAAACAGGCACAAAATTTAAAAAAACATGATTATTAAGTTGAAGATAAGACCAGCCTGTCCTCCACTGTTGCTGACCCAGAAAATCCTTCATGCTATTCCTTGCCTTGAAACCTTCCTTTCTCCAGGTTTTCCCACACTTGCCTGAAAAAATACCTTCCAATGTCTAAACTTGCTCACTACTGTTCACAGATGATAGCTCATCTTCTTAAATGATCAACATTTAAGGTCAAACTTACACTTCCTGGAAAAAATCTGTTGCATACTATTACAATATTCAGACAGTGAAAGTCTGAGGAAACCAAGCTCCAATCAAACCTTTGACTTTGAGGTGCTTGGGGTGAAGTAAGGAGTTCAGTCTTTATTCCCTTTTCTTTGCATGAGGAACAAAAGCAGGATAAGAAAAAAGAAGTTCCAAAATGAGGTGGGAAGAGCTTTTCTCTGCTGTTTCCACAGTGGCCTCTGCTCTGCTCCAAGGGGTAACAGGAAGTAGAAAAAGTGGTTTTGAGACAGTATGACATATGTCTTAGCTCAGTGTTGGAAAGTTGTGAAGCTGAAAATGCACATATTCTTTGCACAACCATCCAACCATGTGGATTCTCTGAAAATCATGCATCTTTACCCATTTACTTACTTTAAAGAGTTTTATGCTTTCATCCACATTCAACTTAATTAAGAAAAAAAAGTTTGCATGATCTACAACAGTTAGATTATGTAAAAAAAGTCATAAATTATATACACCAATCTTCAAAACCTCTTAAAATCATTTATTGATCAAGTAAAAGCAAAAAAAGGAAAAAAAAAAACAACTGCCCTGTCAAATTGATTATTTATTTTAAATTCAAGCAATACCCACTTAAAATAAGGGTGGTACTATTTTTTATGCTGTGTTTATCAGTACTTCACATATTGGAAGCAAGTTTTGTTTAGCTGCAACATTAGATACATTTAATGCCTTTACTGTCAATTACACCATGAAAGATCAGCAGCAGTGTTTCCAAGACTGTCAGATTATGACTATTAGGCCCCCAAAAGATGTAACTGAAATTGATATAATTGAAAACCACCAAAAACTCCTGACCGCTGCTTCCCGCTTTTGCCTCAGCTTAGCCTGCTCACAGCTTTCCAAGCCAGTTTCACTTTCTGGTTCCTGTATGATAATTACCAAGGCCCAGCAATGGGGCAGAGCTGCAAATTCATAACTGGGGCCTGAATATAACCACCTTTTCTGGCTAAGTGAAATTCAAGATAAATCGGTGAAGCAACGCTTTCACTCATGTTGTCTCTGGTAGATCTCTTTAAAGATGGACTTTCTGAATGTCCCTGAAGTTAAGAAATATTCTGGGAGCTGAAAACAGAGGTGTTAATATCCAAACCCCTACTCTCCAACTTCAGTTTAACATATTGACACCTTCTATCTCAGTGCATGCCTTCTTACCTTTGGATTGTAATACTTACCTTTGATTTGTAAACACTGGTCCTTTGGGGACAATCTAATTAGTATCTCTGATTTCACTGTGTACATCAGAGGTACCAAGCTCCTTGTCACCAGTCTGGCTTCGTATCTGAAGTGCCACAGGAGCCAGCACTTTCTTACTCAAAGTAGAAAAGCACAGTGACAGATAAATACTACACAAATTCTCACCTAAAGACTACTTTGAAGATCTAGTAAAACTTTTTCAGTCAGTTGCCTCAGGTCCTTCTATAACTGATAAGCTGGTTTCTTAGCTCTTGTCATGATACATTGGATGATGTGAAGTTTGCACTGAACTAAAGCATACATGACACTGACTTCCAGGTCCTTGCAGGACCAATGAACCCTACTCCAGAGCAGTGGAGGGGTTACCAGAAGTGTCCAGAAATTTGAAGTTCTGTCCAGTCCAAGTGCTGAGAGCACATCTCTCTCTCTGCCTGAGCCACAGCTGCTTTTTCAGCTTGTTGATGGCTTCCTGTTGACAAGATAGAACTTGAATATGTTGTACAGAACAAAATGGTTCATTACACAGCTCTCCCTAAGACCACTTTTTAGTAGTGCATTCAATGGGATGCATGTTATGTCTCAGTGTGTTTTGGCTTGCAGTTTAACCACACATTTCAATCTACTTACTGGAGACACAGTTGCTAGTGTCCCTTCCCTTTCCAGCTAAGGAGGAGTGAGGTTGGGTTTTCTGTGTTTAGAAAACCATAGCTGTTTATGTCCATTTATGCAGCATTCTTTGGAATAATTTGAACATTTTAAACTTTGGAAGACATACTGTATTACTAACACAGAGGTCTGTGCTGTCCTTCACCTAAACTGGGGACAAGCACTGACAGCGTCTTTCTTTTTTCACCGGATGCCACCTAACTGTACTACTGTTCAGGGAAATGCACACTTTGATTGATCCAGCTCAATGCAGCACACGTCTTCTGGAAGAACAATGCAAATGTGTGTGGGAAGGAAGTGGGAGGAGGAGAGCAGAGGAGAAAAGTAGATCATGAAGTAAGAATTGGTGATGACTCAGAGCACTGCAGATGAAAGCAAGATGCTGGTAATAATCTCAGCAGAGAAAGCATGAATGCTGGGTACAATGTGCTTCACTATTATCCAACTCCATTTAGATGCCAGGTTGCTGTGCTCTACACTTGGTTCTATAGGCATATAGGAAATACCAAGGAGTATTTCAAAGGGGCAGTGATACACAGGATCCTCAGTGTTTATATAGGAACATGTACATGAGTATGCACATGTCTGGATTTGCAAAACGGTTATCATTTTTAGATGGAAAGAGTATCAGGCTAAGAGGATATTTTACATGTTCTGCATTTGTGTAACATGGAATATGTTTCGGGTTCCATGTTACATAAAAAACCTTTGACCATATACTACTTTTAAGCAACTCATGCTACCCAGCTTAGCCAGGTTAATGTTCACATTTGCTGCTAAAATTAATGTTGATAGCATTTAAAGGGTCACTTCTTGGAAGCTTTAAGCTCTAAGAACCAGGGAAAATTCATACCTAGGAAAAGACCTGGTAACTCAGATTTATAGCTTGACCTTGAATTATTGGAAAATATTTTATAACATTCCAGATTTATGATTCTCCTTCCTAGAGACCCTGACCATAAAATGTGGCTGGACTTCAAGAAGCAAGTTCACTTCTGGTTTTCTTAACAAGAAGATGATGTCCTTGAACTGTACGAATCTTGTAACAATTCAACATAAGCCAGAAAAGCTTTCAAGTAATCTAAGTGCTCCCTTAATTGTCTTACAGCTAAAGTCTTTAAATCTGTGATATGTATTTCCTTAAGTCCACAAGGGCAGAGACATTGGGCAAAAAGGCTAGCTTTTATTAAAACACTTTCTTGAGATTATATTTTTTTCTCCGTTTCTAATCCTTAAAAGTAGATTTTCTCTTTCCAGATTTGTAGCCCACAAAACCTTTGCACTATAGCATATCAGAATTTTCAGAATTATATCAAACAAAACAGCCATACTTTGCTACAGAAAGAAATTCAGATGTAACTGCTTCAAAACCTTATGGCCTCACTCCTGCATAATGTGTAAAACAGACCGTTTGTCCTGAGATCAGTAAAATCTGCTAGACTAGAATTTCACTATAGAAAAAGATACAACTGTTATTCACTTGACAGCTGAAGCTGATAATGACAGATATGCATATAATTATTTGCTTTATTTAGGAGTCAAAACAAAAACCTACTTATGTGTTACTGCACTGCTTTCTGTTACAGACTTTTGCACCTCTCATTTATCTTAATTATAAAAGTATAGGGAATTGGAGCACATTATGAAGCAGAAAAGAAAAAAAAAAGCTAAAAGGAGATGTTATTGCTGTCTTCAAGTACCCGATTTGTGATTATAGAGAAGATGGCGTTAAATGCTTCTCAGAGGTGCAAAATGATACGGAACAACAGGCATCAATCACATCAAGCAAAAATATGACTCCACGTTAAAAGCCAAATTTCACAAGCCCAGTCATCCAATAGAATGAGCTGCCCAAAGCAGCTGTGGAGCAACCATCCTCAGAGTCAAAACTCAATTAGAAAGGGCTGTGAGCAACAGTGAAGTCCTGCTCTAATCAAAGGACAGAGGCAAATGATGTCCTGAGTTATTTTGTAACACCACTGCATAAATATGAACCAGAAGAGTTTCACCAAGTCCTTGTGGAAGGTATGGAAAGTTGCTTTCTGAATCTTGGTATTTTTTGTAGGATTGGTTTTTTTTTGTTGTTTTCAACAGCTTCAAAACTTGTGAGTTTACTTGCACTTACTTTCCCTTTTTTTCACTTTCTGGAGTTACTATAAAAACCTTAGATTTTGCTTTATTTTTTTCTTCAAAGGGTTGCTAGAAATAGATTTCAAATTATCAGAGGTTCCCTTTTTTATTTAGGGCCAATGAGTGACCACAAGAACATGTATTGAGGCACTAAATGCATTTGTTTGAAATACCTGATATTGAAATTCAAACAGTTCTTCAAGCAGAATTCCTAACAAGAAGGATTTGTGACAGTGAGTCTACAAGATTTACTTTCAAGAAAAAAAATGTGTGTTTAAGAGACCCATGAACCTTCAAAAGAACACCTCCAAAAGGTCCCACCTCACAGCTATAAGGGATTTTCAGAAGTTAATGTATTTACATAAAGTGGAAAAACTTGCAACCTGTACAAGGCAATTACTGGAAACAATGATGTAGTATTGAACAGAATGGTCCTGATTTTCCTTGGGTTTTTTTAAAGAAATCTATTATTTCTTTCATCTACACTAAAACTATAGGCCAAATCCTCTAGTCCTCACTACAAAAAAGTCATTTTACAGACCTCCTGCTGGTCTTCTGTACAAAGAAAATGAGTACTCCAATGAGGTGAAGGGCAGAAAGAGAAGGAGCTTGAAAATACAGTCCATATGGAAACAAAAAACTGCATTTAAAATGCACCCAATAAACACTAGAGATGTATTAGCATGTAATTGAGCAGCTTTTGCTGACACTTATATAACTATTTGTACATGTCTATACAGACACATACACACACATGTACATACACACTTCATTCCACAAATAGCTACCCAGATTAAAAAGCCTACCTCTTGTTATTTTTGCTCAAAACCCATTGAAACCTACATACTCTTTGGTATCACTGAGATAGTGCTCTATAGTCTCTTATTGTGGCATGTTTCAAATCAACTTTCTGAACATATTAAAACTGTATTTCAGGATCAGAAGGGCAGAAAAAATAAAAGATACAGATAAGCAGTATCATGGCATTTCTTTTAAGCTTTTCTTTAAAAAAAACTTTTCCCCCCCTTCTGGTTTATGTATAAATACTTCTGCTTTCTGTCTCCCACCTTTATGTTTTCTCCTGATCTCTGGAATTAGCCCCAAGATGTTTCAGAAAGAGAGGGGGACACTTTAAAATTATTTTTGCAGCACAGAGTAGGACTGATAAAGCTTTTCATCAACATGTGTGTGCACACATACACACTAGCACATGTACACACAAGCACACGTACACACTAACACACGTATACACCGACCACTGCACATTCACAGAGGATTCTTCCCTGATTTGTGTCATGGTTTAAGTGCAGCCAACAACTAAATACTTTGCAGCAGCTCATTCACTCCCCTCCACTCCCCCTCACAGTGGGATGGGGAAAAGAATCAAAAAGAAAAGGTGAAACCAGTGGGTTGAGATAAGAACAGAATGAATTACACTAGCTGAATGCTTCATGCTGTTTAAAATAATGTTGTATATATGAAGAGCAAAAATATAATCATATATTCAAATGCTATAAAAAAAAATCAAGGTTCTGTAGTTGCAAATATCTACATAGCTGACTAAGAAGATTACAGACATAAGTATCGCCTAATTATTCTCTGTGTAATTAACAAGTTAGCTCTGAAATGCTAGGACTCTGAAGTGACATTACTTCTTGTAGACATTTGCATGGTGAATTCTAAGGATGGTTATGAATCACCTTTCTTTTAATATCTAGAGTTTACAGATTTACATACAAGCTATAACTGAAAGCAGTTGGCAGAATTTTGCATGAAGTTCATTTGAGGCACATTAAATGTATTTTTTCTGAAAAGTCAGACCATTATTTTATCAATAGTAATACCATGGATGATAATATAAAGACAGCAGAGGAACTTCAAACTATGCAGTGTAGGGGGAGGGCTTTCAAAACTAATCTCTTAATCCTGGCATATGACTTAACGTAACAGTCCAATACACATTGCAGGGAGAGAGAGAAAGATGGGTAACAATCTTTAAAGTCAATACCAATCACTGATAGAGAGCTAGGCACACTCCATATCAAGACTGTTAGACATTCTCTCCATTTTTATTACATTTCACCAGAAAACAAACAAGAATAAAACTCAAGTGAATAAAATACACACAATACAATTCCACCTCTGGAATGAACAGTCTACAAAGAAAAAATCTTTTACATTATGATTTCAGATGAGAAGCAATGGTTTTCATTTATGCCACTCTGGAGTGACCCTACCTGCCTTTCCCCACCCTGTCATTCCATCTTTACAGGAATCTGAAATATTTCTGCTTTGAAACATTCTTTTTAATGTGAGGGTTTCCTCCAAAATGCAGAACCTGCTGCCACTCACCTTATACTAGAACTCTGAGCATTAAGAGTCTGTGTAATCACTGCAGTAAACGCAATGAAATCTTCCAACCATTCCTTTGCTCCACTCTTAAGATTTCTGTGCAGAGACTGATTTAGTAACGTTACTGAAAACCATAGGCCTGAAAACATTTAACTGAGGTCTTGGTGATTTCATAGGAAGAAATACAGCCTCTCAGGCCTTTCTATTTTCCCACATGAATATGAGTGCTAGCTCTAGGAAGCATTTAGAGGCTAGATGTATGCAGCAGTTTTCCTGCTTTATGTCCCTTGAACAAACGCTAGAAATGAACCTTCACTCAGTAAAGTAATATGGGCACACTGCTTGATACCCACTTCTGCCTATAGCTGTTAGACAACTTGAAAGGCATCATGCGGTACAGGAAAAGACCAGGTCATACCTGCATCTCAAGACCAGGACACAGGCTGTCCATGGACTGTGAGGTAGAGGTTCTGCTGTGCCATATCACCCATAGTTTTGCCTCTGGGGACTAAGGACACCACTTTGCCACACACTATTAATCCGCTCCTTCAGACCTCAAGCAAATTGCTGATAGACAAGGGACTAAAGCATCTTCATTCTCAAATGCTGCTAGAATTAGTATGTTTATATCATGTTCTACTGAGGGTTCCGCTTGCAAAATTATTTTCCAGGTCAGTTTTCCAAATTAAACACAGATTCTTTGAGAAGGGAGAGTGTTAAGATGTGATTAAGATTCTTTAGCCCAATAACAGCACAACATACATCCAGGCACAGGCATAAGTATCATTTCACACAAACCTTTGGCTTTTTGGTAACAAGCCTATCAGATACTGTCTGGGGAGGTGAAGTTTCCCATAAGCAAGACATCCCTTTGTATTTTTAATCTTCAAACTTCAAAACAGCAAAAACTTGTATAAAGGAAGTCAATGTTACTGTAAAGTGTCAGTTCTCTTACCGCCAGCTCCCCTCCCACCCTTTAATTCATATACCTATTGACAAAACTATTTATGCTGTAGAATCTTGTTATTTCTTCAGTATCATCATTGCTTGTAATAACAAGTGTTTCACATACTGCAGTATTGCAAAAACAGAAACGTGAGAGGGTCAGAAAAAACCACAGGTATCAAAGATAGAGGAGATGATTTATACTGGGAAATTGCAGGGAAATTATAGTGCTCTAACTGTAATTCTTCAAAATAGTCCCCAACATTATAAAATATATTCCTGTTTTTTTCCTGGAGTATACAGGATATAGTAAGCACATTATAAAAAATATATCAACCTGCTGCTATTAGTCAGTTTGCACAACATGCAAAAAGCTTGATGCTGTAACAACAGTTATTTGATGCAGACAGGTGAGTGCTTCCCATCACACTTCACTTTAGCTCACAGGTAAAAAGTCTTGTCTTTTCATCACCATTTTGATCCCTCTCCTTCCCAGGTGGGATTGATAAAGACACAGCTGCAGGAGTGAGTGAGTGAATAGGCTGGCAGTGCTATGCATGCAGAAGCCTGTCTGAAAGCCATACTGAACATGAGGCTCTGGACAGCCAGTACTGAAGGAGCTGCTGGCACCAACAAAGCCCAGGCACTGCTCTCCATACTGTCACAGGTTATTTCATAAAGCCAATGTCATTTTTGTTCTGAAGGCAAGGAGAAGTGGTCAGAAAGAGGGAGAAAAAGAATTTCTGAGATTCTCAGTACTTTGGCATAAGGAGCTCACCCCTACTTAGAAAAAGGAGAGAAGTGAAATGGACAGCTGAACTGCTGTAATATTCTGAATTCTAGGACACATATCTACAATCACCTCTGCTACTAAGAGGAGGATCTCAGGTGGTTTGGAAGGAAAAGATCCAGTAGGGCACACTGACAGAATAAAATCTATTACCTGCTAGGCCTTTACTAAAGAATTTCAATGGATTTAATTTAATTTCAAGAGGGTTTGGGGAGTTAATATTGTGTAGTCTTTTATCAAGGGTTACCTTACCATAAGCATGAGGCTTCTTTTTTTAATGTATCTTCTGAGGTTTTTCAAAGAAATGTGGTGGTTTTTTTTCCTTTTGAGAGGCTTCTATTACAGCCTGTGCCATGCTCTGCAAGAGAAGGTTTAATCCATGCTGCTTCTGCTGTTACCCATAGTGTCAAAAAAAAAGAGCAACGCAAATATTCACAAAAACCTCAGACAGAAATACAGAGACACTTTGATGCTTTCATAGCAGTCTAATTCCATTTATTTCTCTAGGTAAAGAAATCTTTCCAGGTATTTATTTCAAAGAAAACTTGGGCAGCTGCTCAGAATAACCAAATTGATAATAATTTGCCTATGCTGTCATTTCCAGCAGCTCCTATCTGACCATGTGTTTCCTAGAGAAAACTTTACATATTAACAATAACTGCATGTTAATGAAGATCCATTTTATAGCAAAAATAAAGCTATTTAAAAAAAAAGTCACTTGCCTTGCTCCTGTGATGACTTCAGAACAGCACGGATCCGTAGTCAGAAACTCCCCTTTGAAATGCTGCATGAAACAAAAAATCCCATGGCTCTCCACAGGGCCAGAAAATAGTTCCCGTGGGTAGACAAGGAACTCCCAGAATGTTCCTGCTGTACAATACTTAGTTCCTCTTTGTTCTTTGCATCTCCCAGACAAAGTTTGGCCCCTAAAACTTGTGTCCAATAATCACAGAAACACAGGCCCAATGTCTCCACACAGCAGCTGAGGGAGACATGGAGGGGCTCTTCCATGGTGGGCCCTGCTCCGAGACCCACCATTAAAAGCACAGTTCTTGTCAGAAATGTGCCTTTTCAGTCTTCTATGCTTCCAGGACAATGACACACGTCATCTTTGACCTATATCTGATCACCACTCCTGTTGTTTTTCATCCCACACTAAGGACAATCTCAAACAACACTGAGCCAAAAGCAAGGTTTAGAGCCGAGTCTCACCCTGCCTCTGGGAAGGCATTTTGAAGGTCCCCATTTCTCTGCATCTGGCTCCCACCGGCTTTGTGTTCCCATTCCCAATCCCCTACCTCAAACTAGGCTCATAATCCCACATCTCTCTCCCTCACCTCACATCTTCCTCCCCATCAGTCGGATTAGCCCAACAGCTCAGGGCCTGACTAGCAGGCAGCCAAGCAACGGGCACAAGTAACACAAGGAGAAGGGGGCTCTCTACTGCACCCCAAGCTTTACTTGCCTTTACCGGTGATGGCTTCCTTACATGTACAAGGCCACCCATGCACAGTGCTGTTTTTCTGTATGCATTACCTAGCTCTAACTCTCTAATTGTGGTCCCCATGTTTTTTCTTCATAGTTCTGCCATAATCTTTGCATTTTAAGGACTGCTGAATGGATAAAAGTAATGCTTTAAAAAAATATAGTACTGCATTAGGAACACTGGTTGATGACGCATCATGCCATTGCCCAAAATATTTACCAGCGCTGGCTCACAGAAGATAATCTGAGGTAATTTTTGCAGTGGCTGCCCTCAAAATATACTTAAAACCTATCAGGAAGGCCTTAGGTACATCTCCTTGCTGGATAAAGGAGCAATATTCCTCATGGTAGAAGGTGAAGCGTGGTGCATGCAGATGCGCTGGTGTTTTTTCACGCTCTGCATGCAGCAACATAAATCACCCAGCTTGTAAAGAAGTCTGACATTAGAAGTCAGGACACATAATTGTGCTTAGTTTAGCCAAGATCTGAAATTACTTGCAAGTGAAGTCTTTGACAGAAAAGCAAAACTAATGGAGAATTTCAACCCTTTTTCCAAGCCTGTAAGAGGGACAAATGTTTTCCATAAAACACAGAGATCCTGATCAGCAGAATTACTTTTTGCAAAGCAAAACTCAAGCCCCTATGAGTTACTGACAGACTTGCTTAAAAAGAAGTGTGTTTACTGCATGAGGGCTTGACAAGTCTTTTCCCCTTGAAGATGAGGAACTGCCTGACATGCAAGACTTGCTTCTCACAGCCACATGAGGAGTGAGAGAAACAGAAATACTGGAGACATGATGTAAGATGGTGAACAGGCTAAAATTAGTCAATGTTCCGACTTTTCTTATGAAGGGAGGTTCTTTTTTCTCTCTCTATATATAATCAAACCAAAAAACCTAGAGGGCATTGGAAAGTGAAGAAATAGAGATTTGAAATCTCAGCGCACAAACTCCTGCTTGCTTACCTACACATGCAATAGCACAAGTACATATACACATTTCTGATTTTAGGAGCACTAATTCAAAAGAGGCCTTATAAAATAAGGAGAAAAACACCTCCTTCACCTTCATAATTGTATCAGGAATAATGTCAGGCACTAGCTTAGCTAGGGCAATGTCTACTTCGCTCCTAAAAACAGTCAGTATTCATATTTTTTTCCACCCTAGGTTTTGTGTCTTACCTTTCTAAATACTCACTTGCTTTATGAAAAATGAAGGAAAAAAAAAGACCCACACAGAACAAAACAACCCACAACCAATTTTCCTTCTTCCAATTGTAGTACTAATATTTTCAGTAGAAAAAAAAAAAATAAATTCTTATTCCTTTTATTCTTTTCCAGCTGCTCAGAGCTGGAATGAAACACAATGAAATGACTGAGTAGAAAATTAAGATTTTATCAAAGGTCAGCAAATTGTTTAAATGACCTTGAGCTATATACAAAGCAGCAGCACATAATTACAGTACAGGTTCAGCTCCTCTAGGCTGCAAAGTTGACCTGTTCTTTGTTCATCTCAGTAAATCTGAGACAGGACAGCACTGAAGTTTTCTGATACACTATACTTGGTTTTCTTCAAGCAAATGTTGAGCTGCAACATGGATGCGAGTTGTTGGTTAGCCTACATAGTTCAAAATACACTTACATGACTCCCCACTTCCCTTCCCCACCTGCACACATACGCTCGTGAGGCTGCAGAAGTCTTTTACGGAAGGCAGCAATATTAGAAAATCTTCAAGAGGATGTAATACAGGAAGAGGCATGCTCTTTGCATAGAATGGTGGGAAATAAGACAGCAAATAGCTGCACTAGCAAAAGACTGAAGAAAAGATAAAGAGGAAATACTGATTTAAATTAAATAATATTGCATGCTGGGTCTGGCTGGGATGGCGTTCATTGCTTCATCGCAGCCCATACGTTGTGGGCTTGTCACTATAACTGTGTTGATAACTGTCCTGGGTTCAGCACTAGCAGTCATTTTTCTCCTTCTTGGTAGCTGGTGCAGTGCAGTGTTTTGACTTTTGGCTCGGGAACAGAGCTGATAACAAGGATGTTTTGGTTTGACCAAGGACTTTGTGAGCCTCATGCTCTGCCAGGGAGGAGGGGAAGCCGGGAGGAAGCAGAGACAGGACACCTGACCCAAACTGACCAAAGAGGTATTCCATACCACAGCACGTCATGGCCCAGATGTAACTGGGAGTTAGCCAGAAGGGCTGGGAGACTGCGGGGTTGGAGGTATGGGTTGGTGCTTGGTCGGGCTGGGCGGGGGGGGGGGGGGGCAAGTTATCAGCTGGTGGTGAGATGGTGTATTCTCTTCCCTTGCTATTTCCTTTATCATTGTTATTATTGGTGGTAGCAGTAGTGATTTGTGTTATACCTTAGTTACGAAACTGTTCTTACCTCAACTCGTGGGAGTTGCATTCTTTTTGATTCTCCTCTCCGCCCTCTGGTAGTAGGGGGAGGGAAAGAAGGGGGGGAGTGAGTGAACGAGCTGGCTGGCTGGGTTTAAACCGTGACAGTTCTTTTGGCGCCCAATGTGGGGCACGAAGGGTTGAGCTTGTCACTTGTCACAATGCTGATTTATTGGCTCTCAGAGTTGTTCCTCTTGATCTCACAGTTTCAGAATGCAGTACATTACTTAGAGCCGGTATTTGCTGTGTTAGTGTTTATCAAGTGTGGGGCTTGGGCTAAGGTTCTTGTCTCACTGTGCTTTATGGCAATGACTTGTAATACGGGCGGGCTCCAGCAGCAGGGCGGGACGGACGTGGCCGTGGACTTGTACCTGGCCGTCCGGCTGCTCGTCACCGTCCTGGCCCTCGCCCTCGCCTCCGTCTTCCTGAGGCCGCGGGGAGCCGAGGGGGAGCGGCCCCGGGAGCCGGCGGCTGCTGAAGTGGCCCGGGAGAGCGGCCCCGGGGACCAAGCGGCGGCGGGAGCGGGGTCGGAGGCCGCGAGGGGACGGCTGCAGGGAGAGGAGGTCGGGGCGGTCGAGGAGAGGAAGGAGGCGGCTGCCGAGCAGAGGAAGAAGGCGGCAGAGGGGCCGAGCCCCGCTGCCGAGCCCAGCCCTGAGACGGCCGAGAGCATTCCCCGGAAGCCGCCCGCCGAGCCCCGGGAGGATGCAGGAGACCACGCAGCATTTCCCAGCAAGGCAGAGGAGGAAGAGCTGGACTCAGGAAAAGAGAAGCTGGCGGTGGGAGAGCCGGCAAGCACAGCAGCTACACCAGCCCCAGTGACAAGTACAGCAGCATCGTTTGAGAGTTCTGAAGGTTTTGAATGGCCTTTGGGTATCCTTGGGACCTGCCTGCTGATTGTGGTGGGGATCACCATGTTGGCACACATACAGAGTGTGTTTTACCCATCACCATTTTGTCTGATCTCAAAAGTTAAGCAGAGTCAGGTTTGGGTCTTGTCTGGGGTTAGACGACGATATAGGGGGACCAAGAGGTTTTCTCCAAGTCTGGACAGTCATGAGTGGCAGGGTGTGTGTGACAGTATGGGCAAGTATCTAGTCCACTGGGCCCCTCCAGTGCTTTGGAAGCGTCGGAGATGGAAGGCAGCTGTATGGAGTCCCCAGCAACAAGCTGCAGAAACTGCTTAAGGGGACAGTGAATTATTTTGAGCCTGGTGGGCCCATGGCACTTCAGGCCATCAGAGCAGAGATGCAACATAGAGATGGACTCATGATCGAGAGGTGGACTTAACAATGGACACTACTGCCCAGGTTATTCACGGGTGTGAACACTGCACACAGTCTCTCCTGCTCTGGAAGACTGTTACAAGAGATGGAGCCTGACATCATGGACCAGACGGACTCGGCAGCATTATAGGGATTGGTCCATGCATTAAGAAAATGATCTTTTTCTCTTGGTCTGTGTGTATATGGATGTATATATGTGGGAGAGCAATGGTGTATTGAAAATGTGGGATCTGAGCATGACGTGAATGGTATGGAATAAGGGGTGGATAATGTCCTGGGTTCAGCAGTAGCAGTCATTTTTCTCCTCCTTGGTAGCTGGTGCAGTGCAGTGTTTTGACTTTTGGCCTGGGAACAGAGCTGATAACAATGATGTTTTGGTTTGGCCAAGGACTTTGTGAGCCTCATGCTCTGCCAGGGAGGAGGGGAAGCCGGGAGGAAGCAGAGACAGGACACCTGACCCAAGCTAGCCAAAGAGGTATTCCATACCACTGCACGTCATGCCCAGGAGGTAACTGGGAGTTAGCCGGAAGGGCTGGGAGACTGCGGGGTTGGAGGAGGTATGGGTCAGTGCTTGGTCAGGGCAAGTTATCGGTCAGCTTGTGGTGAGATGTTGTATTCTCTTCCCTTGTTATTTCCTTTATCATTGTTATTACTGGTGGTAGCAGTAGCGATTTGTGTCATACCTTAGTTACTAAACTGTTCTTATCTCAACCCGTGGGAGTTGCATTCTTTTCGATTCTCCTCTCTGTCCCTCTGGTAGTAGGGGGAGGGAAAGAAGGGGGGGGAGTGAGTGAACGAGTTACCTGACTGGGTTTAAACCACAACAATAACACACCAATGTTTTAGGTGTTGTTGAACAGTTCTTGCAGGGTATCAAGGTTTTCCCTGCTCCTCACTCTGCCCCCTCAGGAAACAGGCTGGGGTGGGCAAGGGGCTGGTAGAGGGGACAGCCAAGACAGCAACCTAGAGATACTGCAGGACAGTTGACCAAAGGGATACTGCATGCCACGCAATGCTAGGCTCAGCAATAAAACTGGGGATTTCATCTTTCCACAGTAGCCACTATTTGGAGGCTGACTGTGCATTGCTCTGCTCATGGGAGGTGATGTGTGGCTGCCTTTGCATCACTTCACACACACACAGCCTCACCTCTTCCCCTCATTTTTTATATTGGTTTTATCTTGCCCCACAGGTTTTCTCACTTTTGCTCTTCTGATTCTCTACCCAATGCTACTGGGGCAGTGAGTGAGCAATATGCTAGGTGGGATGAACACACCAAACACTGAGAACAGGCAATAATGATGACTATACTGCTGGTCAAGTTATAAATTAATATGAAAGTTTCAAAGACTACAGCTTTGCCCACACACTTATTATTAACATTATCTGAACTATCACATAGGTAGTGAGGAAAAAAAGTATACATGGATACATATTTTTGCCTTAATTTTCCTCCTGGGAGTTGAAGAGATTTTTAGAAAAAAATAATTAAACACACAGCTCATACAGGCTTTCTCTGAATGCTAACCCAAACACAGTTGAAAACATAATGAGTCATATCTAGACGCAGGCCCAATTTAGGAAAAATACGAGTTGCTTTATAGGTAAGTGTTCAATATAGGGTAGGCAGACTGCTGTGCCAGCTGAAGCTGGGGCTGTGTAGACAGACTTGGCCAGCAGTCAATAAGCTCACCTAAACAGTATGGCAGCAACACACCCCTGGCAATATTTTAATGTTTATTTATCTTTACTTATCTATTTGTTCCCATATTTTGCAGGCCTCTGGGTGAAATTCAGGCTGCTGGGGTCAAGTGCACCAGTATCAACAGGGTGAGAATGTCACTGTCAGAAAATGCTATAGCAAGAATGCTAGCTTGCAGATACAATTACAACTTCAGTACAAAGTTTGTCACTATTTTGCTTTTAATATAAACATAGTTGTTGAATTCAGAGGAAAAAAGCAATGCCTTTGAGAAACGTGTGATGGTTTTTACTGCATATATTTTAATTTATGCACAAAGACCTTTTGACATTAACCCGAACAGAAGCCCACTTCTCTCTCTCAACATGATAGATCGTACTCAGTTTGAAGGTGCTCCATTTTCATAACAAAAGCAGTCCCCATCGTGATGTAGGAAGCTATACAGGTGTGCACACTGCTTTTCCTTACTTAGGGCTTTCTAGAGCAACAAAACAAATGGCACACACTGACACAACACACAAAAGCATCTGTGCCAGCTGCCCTGCTTGACATGCTGCTGATTTTAAAGCTTTATCATTGAATCAGTGTCGCTGCTTTGAAGCTGTAGCCTGAACAAAGCATAGTACTTAGTAGTCATAGCAGCTCATTCAGAAAGAATATTTTTTTATAATAAAACCGTGATTTTAAAAAAATAAATATGTGTGCTTTGGGAAATACAGCCACAGAGACAATGCATGGGAGACCTTCAACTTAAAACACATTTCAGCAGAAACTCCGCCTGCTGCCCTCCTACATATAAGGGAGCCTGTGCACACTTAAACCACAATAAAAGATGCCACAGAACTGCCTTTACTGCTCAGTGGCAGGCAGGCTGAGAAGCCGTTATATTGATGCTAGGTAAGGCTCAATTTGAGTAACAGCAAACAGATTTTTTGTCAAATAAAATCTGAGCTACCTGGGGTGAACCTACCCACTGGCCCTGACCTACCCACTGCAGAGAGAACACAGCAGCTGCACAGCCTCTGTTTAAACTAGAAATGCCAGATTTAGAATGGTTCTGATGGTTAAGCTGTAGATAAGCAGGAGAAGCTCAGCACGCTCTCTCATCTCTTGTAAGACTCTTCATTTCCTTGCTCTACACACCTTTGCTTTGGGGGAGCTAGAATTCAGAGTTGAGCCCATTTTGATCTTTCTGTCACTGGGGATAACCAGAAAAGGCTCAGGGAGTTCTGGGGACCAAGATAACTGGATGAAGTGCTAAGAAAAGCGAGGAGTCTTAAACCCAGACTGACCACAACACAACCACCAAACACAAAAACCAACCGAACTTCTTTCTCTCTGCCCTTTCTCTCTCCAGTAACACCTCTCCTCCCCCCAAGCACCAGTCACCACATCAGCTTCTCTTCTCTAATTAAAT